AGAGAGAGAGAGAGAGAGAGAGAGAGAGAGAGAGAGAGAGAGAGAGAGAGAGAGAGAGAGAGAGAGAGAGAGAGAGAGAGAGCTGGATAGGGCGCCCAGCGCAACAGCTGGGAAGGGCACAGTGCCCAAGGCTCTGCACATGAAAATGAAGAAACTCAGGGATCAGATTGATCTCAATATGCCCAAACAAGGGCATGAGCCTATCCCCTGTAGACAATATAACAAAAAAAAAACGCCTCAACTCGTCTCGCGTCGTTTGAAAAATCGAAAAGAGTGAAGGGGAAAAAATTGCAAAACAAATATCTAGCTCAAGTGGCTGAACCGAACACAGATGTAACTGTTAATGGACAGATCATGTGTTCGAATCATCCTGCAATCAGATGGATACAGCAAGGACCTTCGGTTCCTGTGGGTTAATACAACTCTCTCTTGCATGGGTTAGCCAGGGAGAATAGCCAGGAAGTACAGCCAGGGAAAATAGCCAGGGAGACTAACCAAATAGCTAGGGAGACTCATACCTATAGGCTGCCAGGCACACCCCTCTCCCTATTGTGATTGTGCTTGCACTGATGTGTGTTTGTTTGTTTGTTTGTTTGTTTGTTTGTTTGTTTGTTTGTGTGTTTGTGTGTGTGTGCTTGTGCATGTAATGATTTGTGTGTGTGTGTGTGTGTGTGTTTGCGTGTTTGTGTTTGTGTTTGTGTTTGTGTTTGTGTTGTGTGTGTGTGTGTGTGTGTGTGTGTGTGTGTGTGTGTGTGTGTGTGCGCGTACACATTTGCGAAGGAAGAATAAGAAGGCCCACATGCTGGTAGGAGATAGGCCAGCATGCAGGTAGCAGATATGGCGGGACGAGCCACTGCCAGCTGGCTTGGCTTGGTGTCGAAGGCTGCCTCATCGCTGGGCAAGTCAGAGCTGACATGTCAGGTTTTGCAGGCTGGTGTTGTAATGCCTGGTGGGTCAAAGTGCTCGTGTGCGGCCATTGCAGCAGTGCCTTCATACAGAGATAGATCCCCATTGTTGGTAATCATTCACTCATCCCTTGCCTGTCCTCCCTCCTCCGTCCGTCTTATCTCTGTACGGCCCTGCGAGTGAATGATTGCAGTTCGGCGCGGTGATCTGCAGGGCCCAGTTTACCGGCCAGGGATTCTGGAAAGGCGCCTGCACGGCTCAGCCAAACATGCGGCATGGGTGGTAGCCAAATTTTTTTTTTTTTTTTTTTTTTTTGGGGGGGGGTGTGCGGCAGGGGAAGGGCGAGGACCTTGAGGTATCATTATGGAACTCACCGGGCCGCGGGTAATTCAGTTTTTTTTTTAACTTTTTTTTTAGTTCAGCAGAAGTCACACTTAGGTCTGTTTCTCAACAGTTCAAGGGCTTGCCATTCGTAGCCATGCAGACCGGGTATTGGCTACAGTCTTCGCCCGAATAGAATGCCCGGTCAATATCACCGTATCTAGACTGAAAGCTGCTCCAAATACAAGTATAATGAACGTGCATTCTATTTGGGTGAAGACCACTGTTGTCTGCTATATTCAAGGTTGGGTGATCTTCCCCCCTCCCCTCCCTCCTTTGGGTGCTAGACGTATGACAGTCACATTAGGTAAGGGGCCCAGGTTAGGGGCCAAGTTGTTATCCAGATGGTCTACAGAGGGGTCCCTATTTCTTAT